GTAAAAACCTTAGAGTGGTCTCACTATCTTCATTTCTTTGGTATCCATCCAGCTTTCTGTCATGAGGAAAAGCTACTCACAAGCCATTCGATGATTCCGTCCCCGATAATGCTTTTCAAAGGCTCCTGGTCTCCTGCAGGCCAGTCTCAGCTCTGGGTGCTGTGCAGACACCCTTCCTCAGGAAGCCCGCCTCTCTCTCCAGCCCCATTCCCCACCGTTCTCTGCTTCTTACTTTGCTCACCAGAAACATGCACAAACTATGCAATTTCACATGGATGTGCCTTTGCCCAAAACTGCTCCCACCCTCCCTCTTTCTCTCTTTTTCACAAGGCTGTTTCCTGTGTATCTTCTTCCCTAACACCTTCCCCACCCTTTGGCAAGAAATACCCCTCCTTCATGCTTTCAAAATGCAACTTGCCCATGGGACAAGAAACTCTTGTGGGCAAGGACTGTGTCTGATTTGTTCACTTTGTGTTTCCACCCCCAGAACATGCCTGACACATGAGAGGTGCAGGAAACACCTGCTGAACTGAACAGCAATAGCTGAGGAACCCTTAGTTATTCAGAGAAGCTGTCCATTTTTGAAGATCATTTGAAACATCTCTCCTACTTTGCCTAGGTTTCAATCTTCAAATAAATATGAGATCATTAGAAATATGAAAAGTATCCTACAACTAAATTTATTCTATTCCCAACAAACTTGCCCCAAATCACACAACTAGAAAGAAGATATAGAAATCAAATTTAGGTCAACTGATTACAAAGCCTGTGTTGTTAACCATTAGACTTCACTGCCTTTAGATTCTGGAGTACAAGCGTGAAAAATTGGTAGTCTGGATGGTAAAATTTTTCCTACTAATCTTGTTTTTCATAGAAATTTTCAATTATGAGATCGCCAGACTCCTGACATCTCTATTTCTAGGCTTTGATTTTTTAAACAAGATGCAGACATACTCTTTCTTTCTCTAAGAGGCTTTTTTTTCTTTGACTCTTGGCTCCACCATAAAACCTTTCACCTGTCCCTTCCTTTCTATGTCTTTTTCTCTTTTGGTTTTTCTTGGCCTCTATAGTGAGATGGTGGGCTTTTTATATTGTAATTTTATGATTCTATAATTTATTTATCATGCATTATTGTGCCTCTAAACAATATGAGTGCCTTCGCAAGTGGGGGCACTTTATAAATAAATGATCATATTTATTGTTATTAATAAAAGCAGCAGCCCACAATGCTCCAGGAGCCCCAGTCCCCCTCCGTAAATTTGTGAATTGAATATCAGATCTTACCCGGCTCACCACGGCTGCCAATTCTCGCATCTCACTGTTCATGCCAATAAATGCACTCAGAGGTTTCAGCAATCGTTCCTGATGATGGGAGCAGAAAGGCTCACATTACAATATTGCTTCATAATTTAGATAGAAAAACAGGGCATGGATCTCGGTAAAATAAACGGTGGCAGGTTGACATGACCTTTGACTTGACCTCAAGGTTTCACTGTACTCAAAATTATATTTCTAAAGTTCATCTGGATTTCAGCAGTTCAAAAGATGAATGTCACATTTTAGCCACTTACCGAGGGGTCTGGGTTACAGTCAAAGGTGTTCAAGGTAGGTTCACCGGTTTCTCCTTTGATAGCATCTGTGAGCAGCCCTCGGAAGTCAATAGTTGGGCCCTGAAAGAGAGGAATGGTTATTTTTGCCATTAAAACATGAGAGAAGACTATCCTTAGTAGCTCAGCCTCATTCAGTAAAGGCACATTTATATATACCCTGGTATGTACAGCAAACTTAAAGTTAAGTGTTAAAAAGAAACTGCCCTAATATTGAATATGTTGGTGTCATTTAAAATTTTTTTTAAATAAATTCTTCAGAATGCAGTTGATTTGAATAAAAATTCACGAGCATTTCTCAGTTCCTGTCATATACCATCTTCTTACCCTATATAGTCTCAACCTTTTAAAACATTATGGGCACAGGAAGAACTCACTGGCACAAGAGTAGTGAAAGTTTTCCCGTCTACTGAGTATAATGTGCATTCACAACTCAGTAGAGTGTCAGCTACAAAACAGGAGTGCAAGGCATTCGTGAAGAGTATTCCTAATTCTTATAATACCTCTGCTAGTCAGGAGTAGCATCCTAGTTTCACAGATGTGGAAGTAAGGCCAGAGAAGTTAAGTGATTTGCCCAGGGCCACACAACTAACAAGCGACTTAAGGTCAGGATTCAAATCCAGATATTTGTCTCCCAAACCTGTATTCTTCCAGTGCCACCCTGTCTCCCCTACAGGCAGAAAGGAAAAAGCAAGGATGCATGCAAAAACCGATAACAATAGTAGCTCACATTTACTGAACATTTATTAGGTGCTAGGCACTGTACTGAGGCTCTCCTTTCATTATGACATTTAAAGTGGGCACCATGAGAAAATGAGACTTGGGGAGATTTTAAACAAATTGCTCAGAGTTACGCAGATGGAAAGCATGTGAGCCAGGGTGTGAACCTAAGAAGGCTGACTCCCTTAAGAACAGCACATCTACTAAATTTCAGGGGGGCTAGGGAATCCCGAAGCTAGGGTTCCTTGCATGGCAATAGAGATTTTAAACAAATTGCTCAGAGTTACGCAGATGGAAAGCATGTGAGCCAGGGTGTGAACCTAAGAAGGCTGACTCCCTTAAGAACAACACATCTACTAAATTTCAGGGGGGCTAGGGAATCCCGAAGCTAGGGTTCCTTGCATGGCAATGATAGACACATTTTGGAAATCAGCCCCTGGCCATACACCCTCATTCAGTGTATAAACATTGAAATGCTAGGGAGAAAACCATCTACATTTTACCCTGAAGACATTTCTGCTGGAAAGAGACTTGATAGCCAGACCATTTCAAAGATTAAGTGCTGGGTTAAATAGTCCTTTCATTGAGATCCAATCAGAAATATCCATTCATACCACTGTAAGGCTCTACAAGAGATACAAAATGCCACAAAATAGCTAGGCACAAAAGTGGACTGAAAACATGTCAAAAGCAGAGAAGGGGAACAAGGAAATATTTTTCCATGGGAGGCACTGATTCAAATGGTATCATCTCTAGCAATTACCCATATAATTGAGACCCTGCAAGGGAGCCAGTTCAGGCCAATGAGATAGCTCCCGTTGACTTCCAGGGACAAGGAAATATTTTTCCATGGGAGGCACTGATTCAAATGGTATCATCTCTAGCAATTACCCATATCATTGAGACCCTGCAAGGGAGCCAGTTCAGGCCAATGAGATAGCTCCCGTTGACTTCCAGGGAGATGCTCCCAGCTACCCCTCCAAAGTCACACACACAGAGTTCAGTTTGCCTGGGAAGAGCTGACCCTAGCTAAGTCAGCAGTTCCATAGTTTGAGAACTTGATCAGAAAAAGAAAGAAGACTCCTAGATAACTACAACCCTTTCTGTGTCTGGCTTATTTCACTTAACATAATTTTCTCCAAGCTCATCCATGTTGCTAAAAATGGCAGAATTTCATTCTTTTTTATGGCTGAGTAGTATTCCACTGTGTATATAGACCACATTTTCCTTATCCAGTCATCTGTTGGTGGACATTTAGGTTGGTTCCATTTCTTGGCTATTGTATATAGAGCTGCGATGAACATGGGAGTGCGGGTATCGCTTTGACGTGATGATTTCCATTCCTTCGGGTATATACTCAGAAGTGGGATTGCTGGATTGTGTGGTAGTTCTATCTGTAGTTGTTTGAGAAACCTCCATACTATTTTCCATAATGGTTATACTAATTTACAGTCCCACCCACAGTGTGGAAGAGTTCCCTTTTCTCCACATCCTGCCAGAATTTGTTGTTCTCAGTCTTTTTGAATAAGCCAGGCATAGAAAGAGAATGCATGTCTTCACTCATAAGTGGGAACTAAGAAAGAAAGAAAGAAAGAAAGAAAGAGAGAGAGAGAGAGAAAGGAAAAGAAAGCAAGAAAGAGAGAGAGAGAGAGGAAGAAAGACTATAACAATATGTTGAACTTTCAGAAGGAGAGAAAGAAAGAAAGAAAGAGAGAGAGAGAGAGGAAGAAAGACTATAACAATATGTTGAACTTTCAGAAGGAGAGAACAGATCTATGTTTACTAGATTTGGGGGGGTGTCTAGGGAGAAATTGGTTAAAGGACACAAAGAATAATTATGATTTATAATGATGAACACAATAATATTGATTTGATCATCACATATTGTACACAAATACTGATAGTCAACTCTGTATCCTATAAATAAGTATAATCAATTATGTTCCGATTTAAAAATGTTTAATACATCTGCCTTGAAAGAAGTGAAAAAAATGAAATAAAAAGGCAATAAAAAGAAGAACTACAACCCTGAAGGGTATGATCAAGAGAAATATGGTGATTTTCCTTTCCAAATTACATGTTTCAACCTACTTTTTGATTACATCCATCCAATCTGGGTCTTTTTTGTCTAAGAAAATATTATTTACAAATCTGGACATGAAATTCATTATGAAAAGGGTAGAAATATCTACCAAGGGCAAGATCAGCCCTGCACCAACTAAGGTTTCATGGTTCACATGAAATTACACACAAACCTGGAACCGTACCTCCCGGGAGGAAGGTGGCACCACTCGTCAGCTACTACTGACAGGGCAGAGAAGAACAAGGACGGGGCCACAGCTCATTAACTGATGCAGGACAGTCATGCCGATGTTTATCATCTTAATCACAGGATTGTCAAGCTGAAAGGAATGTCAGGCACCACCTCTTCCAACCCCTTACTTTACAAATGAAGAAACTGAGCTCCTTTGAGATAGGGCAGTTTATTCCAGACCATCCATCTAGAAGGGAGATTCCAGATCAGAACCCGTTTTCTGGTCCCCACACAGTGCTTTTCCCAGTTTATCTCACAGCCAATCTTCCATCATTGCATTTGAACTTGCCTGTTTGACAAAAATAATGTGTTCTATTTTCATTTTTAAGAAGAGAATTCCCCCTTACAGTGTTAGCTTCATGAGTTCCACTCACTCTACGTAGGTGGGTGTTTTCCTCTCCATTGTCTTTGTTGATTCTTGATATATTTAAGCCAAAGTCAGCACTCTCCATGCGAGGGTTGACAACCTCCTGAAGGAAGAGGAAGACAACGAGAAATCAGCTGCAGAAAGTGACTGAGGGATGCTGGTTGGAACTGCCTACTCCATCATGCAAAATCAATTGCTGGCTATCATTCCGTAAATGGGGAACCCCCTGTGTAATTTGGCCACTTTTTACAGACCCGACGAGATGAATTAACTATCCACCCCATGCCCTGTGGAAGGAGCTGTCTCTGGAAGGCTGAGAAGACACGAGGCCATGGGCTCCGAGCAGCTTTTCCAATGGAGGAAACAGCTGTGCTGCAACCCACCCCTACTTGCTGGCTTGTCTCTTCTCCTGTTACCAGAGGTGTCTGCAGCCAGGGGTGGCTGAGTTTGGAGATGCATCAAAGTCAAGCAGCCTCCTGTGGGTTTCATCCCACACCACCATCACCTCCTTCCCACCCGAGTCAGGCTGCAATGGCCAGAACCATGCAACCTCCTTGAGGGTGAGAGACTCCTTGTGACCACTTGAATTTCGTGATTATTCCTTTCCATCCTGCCAGGCACTGTCGGCATTAATTTTTCCCATTCTTTTCCTCAGTTTCTATTAGTCTTTCTTTTGAAACCTGGAATATATTGTCCTAAACAGGAAGGTTCTGGACATGGATCTCCTGAGTCAGGACATTGGTTTCACTTGCCTGGTGGCCTCCCTCCTGTTGCTGCCCTGCTCCTCCCCCAGCTGGTCCAGGTGGAGGTCTGGGGTGGGGACAAACCATGCACACTTTGGAGAGGCCCAGTGGAAACTCTGAGATTCGGCCACACCTGAGACTATCCCTGGCCTACTCTTAGGAACCCAGGGATATGCTTTGGGACAGGAAGACTGGCCACATACAGTTACTTCAGATGGAGGACTGAGCTCTGCAGCAACCAGGCCCTCCTGCTGTGACTGCCCTCACCCCTGCCCCACCCCTCTGGGGACCATCACCCCGCTCTTAGAGCAGGGGAAAGGTTGGGGGAGAAAGAATTCTTCTGCTCAAATTAAGAAATGTTAGGAAATCTAGGGATTTATCTGTGGTTATAATTCAGCATACTAGAAGAAAATCTACACAGCAATGGAAATCGCACAGCAATGGAAAAACACTTTCTCAAAAAATAAATAAGCTTGACTTTTTCTTGGGGCTATTTCTCAGCCTACTGTGATGTTACGACCATCAAGCAAAGTCATCCTGACCTGTTTAGGAAGCTCCGTATTGAGAGATTTGGTGTCCCCTGTCTTCGCTGCTGTGGTTTTGGACCGTGGCCTCTGCTGACTGATCTTGGGAAGATTTTGACAACTGTCGCTCATCATCCTAAGGGAAGGACAAAAGACCTTGGAGGAAATTATTCTAACCACTTAATTTGAGGTAAATAAACAACTAGTGTAGCACACTTAAAGAAACTTGCATGGAAGGAGGGTGGATGGCCACTTGTGCCACCCACCTGCCTTGTCCATACTGGCCATGACCCACTCCAGTCTACCCGCTGGGTTCCTCCAAGACTGGAGGCCCCCAGGAGAAGGGTATGGGGAGGGAAAAGTCATCCCACTGAAATGAAGAAACATTAGGAAATTAGGGATTTGTCTGTGGTTTTAATCCAGCATACTGGATGTACCCTGCCTATTCAAAATACCCCTCAGCATGTTATATGCAATACACATCAAAGCAGCTGTGGAAGGAAAGCAAACCATACCTCATTTCTGTCATCACAGATCATTTATATTTACAACATTTTCATCAAACATTGTTCACTTCAGGCAAAACAAATTAACAGGCTGGAAGTCGGAACTAGTAGCTAACTCTGGTGAAGATGGGGTGCATTGATGGGAAGGGACAAAGGGAGCCTGCTGGCGGGCACCAAGCGGTGGTGGTTATGTGTGCTCTGCTGTATATATGTTGTACATCATTAGAAGGTAAAATAAACTCGTTCACGACATCCTCATATTTAGACGTGAAATTCAATATTGGAATATCTGCATTTTTCGATAGGAGATGACCTACAGAGAGAGGCAGGACTTGCTTGGGGGCCAGAGCACAAACTTGCCCATCATCCACTGTTCATTTCTCTCAGCTCTTTCATCCCTACGTGGGAGGTGCATTTGCAGGAAGTTTGCTAGAAGTATTTCTGCACATGTTCTAAGTGATCTCAGAGAGCTGCTGTTCCAACTCCATTTCTTTGTAAGAAAGAAAAAGTTGTTCACATCTAATACAAATGTGTAGTTATTTGTCCAGCAAGATCACCATGTCAACAATACCACCAATGTCCATACTCAGTGACCCCAGTGTTGGGCCCACAGGGGTGAGCATAAGGAGAAGTGGACACTGACAGTCCTTAATGCATCTTTTCTCATCTCTAAACTGAGAAGGAGAAGGTCTGTCTCTCAGGCCTCTTGCTGGCATAAAAATGAAATATCTATGAAGTGAATACCAAATAGTTTACAAACAAACCCTTATTAATAGTGTTGATTTAAATGAATTTAATGTGTATATATAGTTAAACTTGCGTCAACATCCTTGTGGCACTGGCAGGGAACTGGGACACTATTTTCCCACTTTGATTTCCCATTGGATGTAACTGACCCACAAAATCTGCTTTAACACAACCAAAGACAAGAGCACTCACGTGCAAAGCCATGCAATTCATTTTCAATCAAAATTGAAAAAAATTCTTCTGAATATAAAACCACATTCACTCAGCTTTAACTGTACCGACCTGTCCTAGGTGTGCCCTGTGGAATTCCGCAGAGAAGGCCCAATCCTCCTTTAGAAGGTGAAGACTTCTACTGTGCTGTTCTAAGAACCCCCCCTCCAGGTCCCTTGTTCAAGCTAAATATCTCCAGTTGCTCCAGTCACTCCTAAAGTGACCTGGCTCCCAGATTCTTCCTCATCCTGGTCACCTTCCCTTTGTCTACTGTCTTTTGAACGAATAGAGTGGCCTCCTATGTTTTGGACACTGGATTTCTATTGACAAGGCCTGAGGCTACATTAGCAATCACACCACACTGTTGACTCAGGTGTAATCACCTGCAGTTAACTCAGACTTTCAGGTCTCTGATTTTGTAATGGGGAAGCTATTTGTTGTGACTCTTTCATTAGAGTTTATCCTATCAAATTTCATCTTATTACTTTGGGCTTATCTCCCAAATTATCAAGACCTTTTGAGACCCTAATCTGTCATCCATCACATTAGATAGCCTTTCCTCCTTTTGAGGTCATCAGCGAATCTGTAAACTGGGAGCATGCTCTCTGGTGTGAGCTGCAAGATTAAGAAAAGACGCAGTGATTTGTTAATAGCCAGCCTCATGGCCCAACCTCTCATTTACACTAACTATCTTTGAGAATAAAATTGTACACAGAACGGCTATTCATTACTTTCCTAATTATCCTCCCTGACTCTAACCATTTGCTCTCCAACCTTTATCCTTGCAATGTACAAACACCTACTCGGAGAAGAGCTGAAGGGACCCCGAGCTGTCAAACGTGCCACCATGCCCATCCCTAAAGGGAAACCAAGCACTCCAGTGAAATCCACTTGCAGAATGTTTGCCAGGTAAAGAATGCTGAGAAAGTTCTAGGCATGAATGTGTGGCTGAGAAATAATCAGAAGCCAAACGCATCCCAAAGCTGGCCTCTTAAAATGCTCCTCGCTGTTTGTATTCCCAAGTAGTTAACGTTTATTACTAGAGTCTGACTAGCTTTATGGAAACTATAAATAAAGGAATAACACTAGTGTCAAAACAATAAAACTGTCCCTAAAGAAGAGCACAAAGCAGAAACAGCCTTAGGCAGAGTGTTACTACTAGTGTCATCATGAAGTTCGCAGGGGCTCCATGACCAATTTTACAAGCTATGCCAAACAGCCCTGGGAGGAGTCCTGGTCTCTTCTTAGGCCATAGAGGAGGAAACTGGATTCACAAGAGCAGGGGACATAGTGGGGGTATACAGAATTCACACCTCCTGAGTGCCCAGTAAGTTGCTTTTGATCACAATCTCAGTTTTCTTTTTCAATCACATTTTAAGATTTTAAAAATTTTGCTCACTGCCCGAATGGTTGTGTGGCCCCTAAAAGAACCCCATTTAAACTCTTTCCTGAGGTGTAGGCTTTATTATAATAGCAAAAATCCACAGCCCGTGATGCCCCAAAAGCTGGCCAGCCCTTAGTAGCAGCACCGTGGTGCTCCTGGGCATGTAAGAATAGGTTATGGAAATGGGGGTGTGGGCTGGGAGAGGTAAGAGAGGAATGGGGAAGACACTGAGGTAAGAGTGGGGGCCTCGTGGGAGAATGAGGGGTGCACACCAGATGCAAATGAGATTCAGATGTGGGAAGCTGGGAAAGGGATATAAGCTGCATGTGAGAAAAGGAGGGACACAGAAGGACAGGGGCACACAGGCCGGAAGTGGGGAAGGCAGAAGCTCCACCCTCCTGGCTCACAATATAAGCTGCATGTGAGAAAAGGAGGGACACAGGAGAAGGACAGGGGCACACAGGCCGGAAGTGGGGAAGGCAGAAGCTCCACCCTCCTGGCTCACTGATGATCGTCAGACAGGTCAAGACATGCAATCAGGGAGGGCACTAAGAAATCAATTAAACAATTCACAAAGGAAGAATAATATTTCCTGGGTGCTCACTATGTGCTAGGAACTCACTATGTGTCAGAAACCTGCTCCATGCTTGTAAATGGCAGAGCCAGGAATTGAACCTGGGTCTTAAATAATATTTCCTGGGTGCTCACTATGTGCTAAGAACTCATTATGTGTCAGAAACCTGCTCCATGCTTGTAAATGGCAGAGCCAGGAATTGAACCTGGGTCTTTTAACATCTGAGGTCCATATTTTTCGTATCATGTGGCCTAGAAAGACAGCGCATTACTGGATAAAATAATTTGCAGTAAAACCGGGAAAACCAACAAACATTGGCCAAGTCCTGGACAGCTGTAACACGAGGGGAATCCATGACTGGGCCCACCGAGGTCACATGACTACAGCCTAGTATTGCTGGTCGACAGCCATGCAGCTGCACTGGAGAATCTTCTGGAAAGGGATTCCACAAACTCCTAGAGTTGACTTGGTCAAGATGAATTACGATTCACTTTACCTTCTGTTCTTCCCTCCACTTCTCTGCGGTAAATTATTTTCTCCTGTGGCAAAACAAATAATTGGGAGGAAAAGAAAAGAATTTAATT